TTATTTATTTATTTATTTATTTATTTATTTATTTATTTATTTATTTAATCAGGACAGTGCACATTAATGAACAATCTCATACAGATTGTAAATGAGCCAGATTCTAGTATAGTTGCTAATTCGCATCTGTCGAAGGCAGGAAACAAAACAACACAAAATCACATAATACAAAATCAGTTAAAACAGAGAGACACACGTTCAGACGATGACATTACAAAATCAAAATTAGCGATTGCATGACTGGGAACTTTTGAGAAACAGTTTAAGGCACTTTTTAAATGTGTAAAAAGTGGGACCTTCCCTGATGTCCGCGCACGGGTGAAAAATTTTCCTCTCCAGTCGTCAGTTTTTGGGTAGATTCTGTCATTTTTGTGCGTCCAGAGTCGCGATTTGGGAGGAAAAAAAACAAACCACAAACCCAAAGGGGAGGACCTCAACTTCTGCTCCACTTTGTGTTAATGGATGGAAATCAGTCACAAGTATCTGAGCGGCCCATTGTGTGCGGGGAGGGCTTTGTTCCAGCATCTGTTGCCCAAACATTCTCCCCCAGTGTCACTCACCCTAAATTGGTCTGTTCAGACGAGCTGCAACAAAACTCACTCACTCTTCCCACACAGAGGAGGGGCGGGGGGGGTCAGTAGGACCTCTGAAGGGAAGGAGTTAATCTTTGTGGCTTTTGTTTGGGCTCCAGATGACGGTAAAAGGCCCCGGGAGCGGGCCCTCGTGGGAACAGGTCGCCCACATTTGTGTTCCTGAGCTGAGAATCCCACTCTGGGCTTTAAAAACGGACATTTTATCGCAGTTCCAACTCCAGACGTAACCAGTTTGCTTCTTTGTTTACTCCACACTTTCTTGTTCTGCATTGTTCTTCTCACTATCTCCATAAGTCCCGACCAGGACTTCTCCAGGTTTGCGCTAAACATCTGAGATTCTTTTCCAGGAATTTTTAAGGTCCTTTAACCTGACCAACAAAACTCCATGATTCATTCCTGTTTCTGGTTTTAGCTCTTTGATATGAATGTCTAATGCAAATGACAAATAATTAAACCAGGGCTATCACAATTAACGCGTAAAAACAAGATGATCAACGACGTTTTACCCACAATTCAATTGTTTAACATGAGCAATATGGAGTCTGAAGAACCCGTTGGCCCACTAGATGGACTGTTCAAGCATTAAAAAAACAAATATGGAACAGTAAACATGTTGTGGTTTGTCATTAATAAGATCTAATTGTAATATCCACTTCTTATCATTTATCTTTTAAAAAATGTGAATTTTTCCATAACATTTAGGATTGTGGTTAATCTAAATGAATTCAAGAAACCTTGTGATTAATTAGATGAACATTTTGAATCGTTTGACAGCCCAAAATAAAACCTACATGAGTTCAATCAGAGTCCAGACT